CTTTTCTCCTGCCTCTTCTTGAGTTCATTATTTCTCTCCTCTTTCATCTCTGTTTGCTTTGTCACAGTGAATATTCTAAATTCTTTATCTATTTCTGTGCATGAGGATTTATTGTTTTTCGTTGAGGGAAATATATTTTCTTGGTTTCTCGTACTTCTTGTGCCTCTGTAGTGGTTTCTGGTCATTGATGAATTATGTTTCTTCCTAATTTCTTAAAGTTAAATCTGAGCATTCAGAGGCGTGCAGGAGGAGGTGATCTACAATCTCTCTGCCATAATGTTTATCTCCCGTTATGCAGCAGATTCAGTGGGAATTGAAGATTATTCTGACCATAATAGTAATCAGATGTTTGGCTACTATGCAACTAGACCTCTCTAGACTTTCAGTGTGTGAAGGCTGAGTAGCAAAGTTTTAAAGATAAAAGGAAAAAGAAATAAAACAAAGAAATAGAAAAGAAAAGAAACAATAAAAAAAATGAGAAAAAAATGCAAAAAAATGAAAACTGTGCAGTGCGCAGGCATGCTCCATGTAAGAGGTTGCTCACAGCTCAAATGCAGATGACTTCTCTAAAGGCCTCTAAAGGCCTCTTTTATCCTATCTGGGAGGGAGGAAAGGTAAAAATTAGCAAAATAAAAATGAGACAGTCAAGCAGTGCTTTACATTAAAAATAAACAAAAATTAAAAAAATAGAGAGAGACAGACAGACAGAGACAGGGAGAGATCAAGAGAAACAGAATTACAGAGGGTGCCCTACCAGTCTGGTGGATCTTGGGGTATGGAGGGTGAAGTCTGAGCAGAAATTCACAGGTAGTCTTAACCCCTGAAAGGGACTGGTCACAGCTCAAATGCCACAAAAATATTTTAAGTTGTACATAATTTATTTTTTTTTGGTTCATAATACCATGAATATTACATGAACATTTTGAAAATCTCTTTTATATCCTCTTTCCTGGACTTATCAATATACTAGTAAGAAAGATCTATATTTGTAAAAATACACATATGTGCAATACTGAGTCCATGAAATTATATCATATATATATATATACATATATATATGTGTGTGTGTGTATGTATATGGATATATACAGACACACACACATATATTCTATGCATATAATATATATATAGTTAGAAGGAGTAGATAGAGTATCCTTTTCATTCACAGTTTTCTTGATTGGACCTGGTTATTTTTTTTTTTACCTGTTTCTGCTTATTTTTTAATTTTAAATTGACTTCATTGGTATTATTATTTTTATGCACTCAATCACTATACATCATTTAGCTTATAGAGAGAATTTTAATTACACCTCAGTACATGAAATATACCTCAGACTAATCCAGCGGAGAATACTATACATGTTTTCATCAACAGGTAATATAGCATTTCTGTGTCCCATAAATGTCTCATTTCAGAGAAAGTATCTTAATCAGATAGAATCAGATGATTTTGAAAAGCTAGTTCAGACACTGCTAACAAATATTGAACCTATGTCCATCACCATTTGTTAAGACCCATAGAATGTACATGAAACCTAATGTAAACTATTGAGGTATTACATTTGTTAAGACCCATAGAATGTACAACATGAAACCTAATGTAAACTATTGAGGTATTAATGATATATTAATGTAGCTTTACTGACTGCAATAACATATCATTCTGATGTGGAAATTCTGGTATCTGAAGAGGCTCAGTATCTGTTGGGATAAGAGAAATAGGAGAAATTTCTGTGCATTTGGCTCAATTTTACAAAGAACCTAAAATTGCTCTAAAAAATAAAATCCATAAAGGGAAAAAAACCTGCAAACAATAAAATGTATTGAAAGCTGTTGGGGATTAAAGAAAAATAGAAACGTGTGCTGAATATAAACAAATGTGAACAAACCTAAAGTTTAGGAAATAGTAAGAAGTATAAACATTTAAGAGGATAAATACCAAGTCTGCTTTCTACCAATTAATTTATTACTTGATGCTGTCTAGTATTCTACTACCTATTTTAAGGAGGCCTTAATGAGTTACTATTTTTAAGTTTTATATAAATAGAAAAGAAATGAAACCAGAGTTATAGAAGTCTGTATAACTTTCTTATCTGTGACTTGTTGAACACTGGCTAAATGTATTTTTTTCTTATTTCCTAGCTCATTATATGGCAATGCATTGTTTTGTTTAACATTTCTCAAATATTGTCCTATATAAAACAGAAACTATTAATAAATTGACAATCAAATAAGAAATGTAAGAATAAGCCAGGTATTTGAAAATAGTGTATAACATAAAATCTAAAAGTTAAAACGAGTAATAAGTCTGACATAATAGCCGAGATGAAATAAGATATTTAAATCAAAAATAAAATTCCCAGAGGAATTTTATTTTCATTCAAAATGCATTTTCAAAACTTAACTTCTTCCTGCTAAGTAGCACATAGATGCCTACATTTTAAAAAATACAAATGATCCAAAGACCTTTGTGAGGAGCCCAACCACTACTAGCGTCAGCAGGCCTACTGGACAATCCAGCCCTGTTTATTCATTTCACACATGCAGTGTATGTTACAACAAAACAAGCAATTTTGCTAGGTTTTCTCAGGACATTGTTTTAAGACTGTGTTCTTCAGATTTCTTGGCATTCAACAGACCTTAGCAAAAGTCTACATAAAACATTGAGACACTGAACAATTTTAGGCCCTCATTTATTAATCTTTATAAATTTATCAAAAGGCACATGCAATCTCAAGAGAGAGACAAAAAAGAGAGAGAGAGAATAAATAAAAGTAAGACAATCTCACCTCCACTTCTTTTGTTTTTTGGGTCTTAGACACAAGTGCACAAGTAACCACATGTTTCAGGCTGCTAGAGCCAGGACTTGAACAGTGCTGTCAACCATGTGGGATCCACTTACCTTAATTACCAAACCCTTGGCTGGCCTTTAAGCATGTATCTTGCTTACATCAGTGCAGAGCTAATCTTTGCTTTCATAGATTTGAATTTCTGCATGAAGTTTATAGAAAAAATATTGTAAATATTAATAATTACCTAGTGAATAAATGCAGAAATATATAGCAAAGAAAAGACTAAAATATGTTAGGAGATTAAAAGACAAGAAAGGTGATAACAAAAAGAAAAAGAAGAAGAAAGGAAGGTCCTGTGAAAACATAACAAACATAATATACGTTTTCTATTCAGAACCTTATGGCAAGTTTCTGTATGCATCTCATTTCATGTAGTCACTGAGCATCTTACCTGCTCTTTCCTCTTAAATTATTTTCGGCAATTTTCAGTATTATCTCTACTACTGTTTCTTCCTACCTGCCCAAGGGTCTTACAGAGGACAAATCTACCATCACAAAGATTTGGTGTGACATTATTATGGAGGCCATGGTGAGATGGCAATACCACTGGGAGGTTACAGTAAGGACCAAGTTCCATGTGTATCCCTTGCAGCTGCCTTGCACTCATTGGATGGAACAGACACCTTGAAGAAACAATTGATAGCACATATTTGCCTGCCAAGAAGGCCAAGAGGAAATAATTTCAAAGCCTGTAACTCAGTGTTCTATAAAAGCAATATTGGTAAGGAACCAAATATCCATGTTGTTTACAATGATATAATTTTAATATCCTTTTTAAATAATGCCATTTATAAAAACATTCAAGTTAGAAAAAGAATACATTCCAATATAAGCTTAAAAATATAAAACTTTGGGACTAGCAGGTGGCGTTGTAGTTAAGGTGCTGGACACTCCCACATGGCCGACCGGGGTTCGAGTCCTGAATCTGGTGACTTCTTTCCCACTTCCTCTCTCTCTCACCCTCTGTCTCTCTCTGATCAAACTAATAATAATAATAATAAATAAATAAAATAAAATAATTTTAAAAAATATATAAAACTTTGGGACTATAGGTGGTGTGGTGGTTAAGGTGCTGGGCTCCCACATGGGAGACCACAGTTCAAATCCTGGATCCTCATTTTCTGTCTCTTTCTCTATTTCTCTCTCTCTCTTTCTCTCCCTCTCTCTGGTGAAGACATGTGCCCTATAGCAAACTTAGATAAGTAATAATAATAATTAATAAAATAAAATAAATGATTTTTAAATAATGAAAGTAATTTTTTTATCTACTTATTCAAAAATATCAAGGTGCTGAAGATGTAGTCATGCATTAAAGAGGACATGTACCCCCTGTCCTCTTTAAGCATAGGATCTGGATAATAAAGACAGTCATTTTTGGTCAAAAAGAGAGATACTGGGAGAGTTATAAGTGCATGAAAATGTAGGTTCCTAAATTTAGGGTTCTAAATTTTCTCTCTTAACCTGGAGATCTAATTTATATATACATTGATGTGAGGTTTCAGAAAAGCTTCTGGGAGTAATAATTAGCCCATGGGTTAGAGGATTCACAGGAGTTAGAAGCATACAATAGAGTCCAGGGATCAGCATTATAATTAGAGGGAAATACGTACATAAAAACTATAGTAATGGCTGAATTCTTCATTAAACTAGAGGAAAGTGGAGGTAGAGGGTGTGAAGAAAAAGAAAACCTGAGATGAGACAGGGTCTTGGAGGCAATATACAGAGGTCCTTTTTCATAGTGTTAAGTCCTCAAGTTCTATAATAAGTATAATGGCTAATGATGAATGGTTTTTAACAAAACGTAGCATACTGAACCACAACACTAGGAAAGTTTTTGTATGAATCCTTAAATGTCTAATGTGATTGGACAGGACATAGTCCCATGAGCAAAAGTTGGGGACTACAAAGCCTTTCTCTGTGTGGGAGAAAATACTCTTTCCCCAGAGAAATGAAAAATACCTGAATTGGCCAAATGAGAGAAAGCTGGATTTTAGTCACACTGTCAGAATGGAAGGGCATTTTTAAAAAAATTTAAATTGCACAATAAAACTCAAGTGTCTTACCGAACCTCTTCATTCCTTGTCTTCAGATCAAACTCCAAGAAGCTCTTTCCAAATCTACCTTAAAGTCAAGAGTTCTCTTTATAAAAAAAAAAAAAAAAAAAAAAAAAAAAAAAAAAAAATCTGAGGCATGGCACCAGCATATTTGTTGGATTTAATATCAGATCATTATTCCAGGCACAAGAAACTTGGTGAAAATGGATGCACTTAGAAAGTAAAGAATAGCAGCAACAAGGAGAAGGTAAGGACAAACAATTGCTCTCATTCTTTTTTGTTTACTCATTTAGCCATGCTGTTTTTTTTTTAACATTAATTCACTGCATATTATTATAGCATACACATAGAAAAGGATGAAAAATAATTTAATGGAAAATAATCTGTTATCTCTTCTAGAGTAGTAAAATTAATTGAGGTTGAGGGTAACCTAAACAATAAGTATGGAATCTATATTTAGTGGTGGGATCCTGAAGGTTAATTACTTCTAGTTAACGTTAATTTCACTTATTTGTGTTAAGATCAAGGAATGTATTTCCCATACCATCTGATACACTTCTTTTGATTCATTGAACAATTCCAAGATGACCAAAGTTTGTATTTTACCCTTCTTTCATTGTTTGTTGGCACATGTACAATCTATTTGTATAAGTTCTCGTGTGAGAGAAACCAAACACACGAAAATGGTGAGCAGGAAGTTAAAGGAATTGAGCACTCACAAGTTGATTCAAAATGAAACTTTTCAAAATGTAAAGGTCATAGTTGAGCATTTCTCATTGTGATGGGAAAGAACAGTAAAACACTGCAGTAGGAAGGACCTTTTCAATGCACAATTCAGAAGGAAGATGTCAATAGTTTTTTTCTCAGAGTGCCCACAAACTCCTCCTGGCATCAGTTAACATTCTCTAAAAATTATATTCTGAGTTCTATAGGTAACCCCAGGATACCAAAGACTCCAACTACCAAGGAAGATGTTCAAGTTTTTAAATTATTAGAAAAAATATGTGAAGGGATATAGTAACCAGTAACAACTAAGACAAATATAGTCAACTGACCTGGGACAAAGGAGCAAATAGGAAAACAAAAGATATTCTTTTTAATAAATGGTGTTGAAAAAATGGGAAAACCACATGTTAAAAAACATTAAGAACAGATTCTACACAGAGATGTTATGTCCTTCACAAATACTAACCAAAATGGATCTAAGACCTAAATGTAAAATGTATAATTATAAAACTCCTAGAAAATGACATAGAAAAATCTATTTGTTGGGTGTGACAATGTCTCTTTAGATATAGCACCAAGGGCATAATCCATCAAATAATTGATAATCTTGATTTCCTAGAAGTGAATGTCTGCTATGTATACAAACTATGAAAAGAAAGAACAAAAAAGTCACAGAATAGAAGAACATATTTGCAAACCATGTTTGTTAAGTTACTGTTATCGGAAATGTACAAACATCTCCTAAGACTCAACCATAAGAAAATAAACAATCCAATTAAAAATATGCAAAATATCTGAATAAACACTGACCAAAGAATACATATAGATGGCAAAAAACTGTATGAAAAGAAACTTGATATTATATGTCACCAGGGAATTAAAAATTAAAACAATAATAGGATACCAATACACATATATTAGGATGAGAAAAATCTGAAACACTAAACAATAACAAATGTTGATGAGTATGTGGAACAATGGGAATTCACCTTTATTTCTGGCAGAGGTGCAAACTGATAAACTACTTTGGAAGGCATTTTGGTAGTTTCTATAATCAAATTATGTATGCTCTTTCCATAGGATCCAGCAATCAGATTGTTTGATGTTTACCCAGACAAGCTGAAAACCTGTCTGCACATAAAAACCCATAGACAGATATCTTTTAGTGATTTTACTTACAATTGCCAAAATTTGGAAAAAATCAAAATGTCCTTCAAAAGGCAAATAGATCAATAAAGTGAAGTATTAATACATGTAGGCATTGGAATATTATTCAGTGTTAAATAGATTTTGGCTTTCAAGCTATGAGAGACATGGAGAAACCCCAAATACTTATTACTGAGTGATGATAAACAACCTGTAAAAGCTCAGTACTGTGTGATTCAACTATATGATATTCAAGAAAAAGCAAAACTAAGAGGATGACAAAATGACCAGTGGTTACCAGAGGTTCGGAGGAAGGGAGGATGAATACGTGAAGCACAGAGAATTTGAGGCAGTGAAACTATTCTGTTTGGTACTTTGTGAATACATGTCATCCAAACCCTTTAAATGTACAACACCAAGATGAACACTAATGAAAATTATGAACTCTGGGTGGCAATTGATGTGTCAATACAGGTTATTGATTGTAACAAATGTACCACAGTGGTACAGAATGTGGACAGCAGGCATGGCAGTAGGGGGACATAGGGAACTCTGTACTTTCTGCCTAATTTTGGTGTGAACCTTAAACTGCTCTAAAAGTAAAGTCTGGTATGTGTGTGTATATACACACACACACTTATTTTAAAGTAGTATTCCATTTCTAATAAATACATAGTTTGTAAATTTATAGAATGATTTATAGTACCTAAACCAGGAAGTAATTTCCTCATCACTCCATAAGCCTGTGTATCCACAATGAATAGGAATAGGAAGCTGTTAAACTAAGAGGCACAATTGCATGCACAGTCCTGCATGGAACATTTTAGGGCAAAGATAGTGACAAGGTGTTATTTATATTCCTCCATTTCATGTTCATGTGTGTAATAATAGTTTAAAACTAGGGAAATATAGAGGATAAAAGGATAGACATAGTGTTAAACTCTACACACAACGAAGAACAGCTATTTTGTATATTCAATGCCATGAGTAATAATAATTGTATGGGAATAAAAATAATTTCAAAAATTACTGAGATGTGGATGATGAAGCTATTCTTCCACATTAATGAATGTTAATTGCTCAGAGTTGGTTAATAATAAGCTTTGATATGTGAAATGTTTTTAGCAATGGTCTATTTCTGCCAGCTTGAACATCCCTGTTACATACTTATACACTTGTGTAATCGACAATTTTAAATATCACCAAAAAAAAAGATCTAGAAATTTGAGAATAAATTACATCTTACCAACTGGTTTCTTTCTCTTTTTATACTACATCCTTTCTCCACTATTTATTCTAAATTTTCATCTGTATGTATTCAGAAAATAAAAACATGCATCTTTCACTTATTAAAGTATATCAGGCATATTGAACCTTTTGAAACTTAGATTTTATTTAATATTATCATAAAAATAAAAGCCGAATAGCCAAAGAAATTCTGAACAAAAAGAAGAAAGTTAGAGACATCACACTACCTGCCTACGGCATATATGACAAATTATCCTAACTAAAACAGCATTACCGGCATGAAAATAGACACATAGACATAAGGGAAAGAAGAGAAAACTCAAAGATAAATTCACATACGCATAGTCAATTGATTTTCAACAAGAGTAGAGGGAACCAGCAGTTAGCGTAATGGCTATGTTCTTGGACTCCCACGTAGTTGGCCGTGGTTCACGTCCCGGACCCGGTGGCTTAAAACTAACGCCAGACACGTGTGCGTGCGTGCCCAAGATCCCGAGAGGAGAATGGAGGAGAAGGGATTGCGGCAAGAACATCCCCCCTGGGTGGTGATTTCTCGCTTTCTGTCTCTCTGTCTCTGTCTGGCTGGCGAGCGCACGAGCCCTATAGCGAAAATATAAAAAAAAAAAAAGAGTGGAAAGAACATTTAGTGAGGAAAAAAACAATCTCTTCAATAAATGGTTCTAGAAAAATTGAATATCCATATGCATAAGAAAAAATAGGCCACTATATCTTACCACATACAAAAATTAACTCAAAATGAATTGAAGACCTAAAAGTAAGATACAAAAAATTGAAATTATTACAGCAACTCATAGGATAACTGGTTCAAGACATTGATATTATCAAAGATTTCTTAGATAAGGCTTTCTTTTTAAATATATGTCTTTGTTTATTTGCATATGTGGTCGCCAGAGAAAGACAGAAAAAGACCAGGGTAGTGGGGAGAGAAAGCACGATCCTACTTCTGGAGAATGGTTATGTCACAATCCCTTCTCCCTTCCTCTGTCCTGTTGGGATTTTGAGAATGTGTCCAGTGTGTTTTCAAGTCCTTAGGTATGGGACTCAAACTTTATAATCAGCCATGTGAGATCCAACTCACATACCACCAGGCCACAAGCTGGCCCAGATGTGACCTGCTGAGACTTCATAAGAATGAGCATGGAAAGCAAAAATAGATAAATGGAATTGCATCAAAAAGTTTCAGCCTAGCAAAGAAACAAGAATGGAGCAGCAACTTACTAAATAGGAGAAAATGCTTGCAAACTATACATCTAAGGGGATCAATAACAAGAATATAAAAGAACTCAACTCACCGGTTTAAAAAATTCCAGTGAATAAATGTATAATCTATCTCTACAGGCAGTTCTCAAAAGAAGACACAGAAATGGTCAAGTATATTTTTAAAAATACTTAGCATCACTAAATATTAGAGAAACAAATCAAACCTAAATCAAACCTACAGTAATGTAACACCTCATCTCTGGAACAGCTGTTTTAAAAATTGGGGCCAGCAGGTGGCATGGTGGTTAAGGCACTGAGCTCCTACATGGTCCACTGTGATTTGAGTACCATACTTAGCAGTTTGAAATTCACACTGGACAGGTGTGCATGCTTGCTCAAAATTCTGAGAGAAGAATGGAAGAGAAGGGATTGTGGCATGGCCATTTCCCCAAAGGGAAATGCCTCTTTGGCGAGTGCATGTGCCCTATAATAAAAATCTCTACAATAAATAAATAAAAATAGTAAGTGCTCGTCAGGATGTGGAGAAAAGTGAACTCTTGTGCATAGTTAGTGGGAACATATTTTTCTTTTTCTTTTTTTTTCTTTTTTGGAGAGGTTTTTGCTATAGGGCGCGTGAGCTCACCAGAAAGACAGAGAGAGACAGAGACAGGAAGCGAGAAATCACCCCCGGGGGGGATGGCCATTCCGCAATCCCTTCTCCTCCATTCTCCTCTCAGGATCTTGGGCAGGCATGCACACGTGCCTAGAGTAAGTTTAAGCCACCAGGTCCAGGACTCAAAGCTCAGTCAACTACATGGGAGTCCAGTGACATAGACATTATGCCAACTGCTGGTCCCAGTGGGAACATATTTTAGCACAGATATTATGGAAGAAAGCATTGAAGTT